AAATAATTTCTTTGTTTTCGATTGCTTGTTTTAAAAAAACACATTCTTCTTATTATAATAAATATTTTTTGACTTGTACCTAAATTTTTTTTTGAACGTTGCATATATTTAATCTTAAAAATAATGATAACACTTTCTGCATTTAAATAATACATTAGGGAAAATAAAGCATTTGTGCGAAGAAAATAAATATTTTGTTAAGTCAAAGTATTAAATTTCAATGCAATGTATCTTTTTTATTAAAAAAAATAGCATTTTGTCATAATATAAATGCGCAAATAAGCAAATAATGTAATATTCAAGCTAAGTAAAGTTTAATTGATGATATCAATAAACGTGTAAGATTTATTTCATTTGCTAAGATCCGATAACTGGGTCTGATATATGTAATTTTTATCTTAAAAATAATGATAAATTTTTCTTCAATGAATAATTTATTAAATAGAAAAAAACGTTCTTTTGAACAAAAATGTAATGTTTATATTCTTATGTAATTAAGAAAGTTTTTTTTAAGTTCAGAGAGAGAGAGTTCGCGCTCATCCCAAACTAAACTAACAAATAATAATTAATTGTTAAATTTATGCCTATCCTATACAAAGTCTCACTGATAGGTCAACATCAATCATGGGCAGAGCGCGAATAACTTAACACTTAAAATAACAAAAAATTTGTCTTGATTTTATACATTAAATATATTGTACATTGTGCAATACATATATACACTATACATTACATGTATACATAACATTGAAATTAAATATTTTAACTTTAATAAATATTTATTTCATTTAGAGAATTCGTTTATTTAATGGATTATTATGTAATTGTAGAAAAATATTATTTTAAAAATAAAAAACAAATATTATCAAATCAGTTATCGGATATTAAGATATAAAATAAATCATACAATCGCATTTATTAAACGTTACAAATTGAACATAGAACAAATACATCATTTATTTACACATTTATACTGACAAAATGACACTTACATTATTAAAAAAAAATACATTACATTGAAATAAAAAATTTTGACCTAAATAAATACTTATTTTTTCTACAGAAATATGTTATTTTGTTTAATAATTTATTTGAATAAAAAATTATATCATTATTTTTATGATTAATATGTGAAACACTTAAAAAAATAAAATATTTAGTTAGAAATTAATATAATAACTTATTATAATGAAGAAAATATATTTTTCAAAATAAGTAATTGCAAACAAAGAAATTATTTTATTACTTAAAATAATTTTATTTATTTAAATTATGAAAAAGAACTTAGTTGATATCTTTAACTTAAGATTTAAAAAATATGTCTTTAAATTATGTACTCACGTTTCATTCGTCATGAAAAACATTTTTTTATAATCTGAAGTTAAAGATATCAACAAGTTCCTCTTCATGATTCATATAAATCTAATTATTTAAAGTAATTAATAATTTTTTTTCAAATGCTTATTTTTTTAAATATTTTTTATATATTATAACAAATATATATAATTTTTATTTAAATGTTTGCTTTTTTAAGTGTTTTGTAACCGAACTCGTGAGCAACGGCACAAATTCGTCGCGCGTTCTTGGTACTCAAAAGTACGCAAAAGTATCTTCTCTCCCTCGGTAGCAGAATTTTGCGACAGCCATGCGGTTTTTCGGCCAAAATTGTAATTCTTATTCTAAGTTGGTACGGCAGGGGGTGGGTCGCAAGAGGTGTGGGAAATTTGTCGGAAGGCGAGAGATATAGGCCACAAGAATAAACCACGCGAAAGCGTAATAATAAGAACAATTATATTTGAAAGGAATGTGATGAAGTAAATATGATAAATTACAGTAGTGCAGCAATTACAAGTACTTTCCGGGGCTTCGCCCCTCCGCTCTACTCGATACTCTCGGTACTCGCACAGAGAGCCGCTAACTTAATCCTAATGCCGGACGCCGGTCATACGCTACAGCACGAGCCCCGACCATTCCCGCGGTATCTTCCGACGGTGTCAGACGCCCACCCCTCGACAGCCGGCAAGAACCTGTACCCGCTGTACCACCAGACTCCCGGACGTGTAACGCCGGCCCGCGACCGACGCCACGCGATGGTGCGACGCGATTATAGCGAATGCCTCTATGCGACACGACTCTACTCGACAGCGTGAATTCCGGAAACGGACTCTACTCGGTAACACCGTAACCGGAAATTCACTCGGCAACGCGACAATCCGCGTTCCGAGGCGACAGCACAAAGCTCGGCAACACAATTATAGCAAGCGTGTCTACGCGACGCGATACTAAACGATAACACGATTACAATAAGCGTCGTTACGCGACACAACGAAACTCGACAACTCTACGCGTGACTACTCTACGCGTTTCTGCGCGACTCTACTCTACTCGGAAGCCGGAAGTGACTCTCCCATGGCGAGAGGAACGAGCGCGGCTCGGCCCTAGATTCTCTCCAAACGACTCTACTTTACTTCCACTCGGCAGCGAATATTACTACCCTTACTCTGACCCTCGAAACGCGACAGCTAAGGATTTCCAAGCTCGGGAGGATGGCACGTGGCTCGCGGTTCCGCAGCTCTACACGGCGGCCATTGCGCCGATTTTATCGTTACGGTGCGAACTGGCTTACGTGCGATCCACCCGGCGACGTACCCCGGTCGGCAGCCTTACAAACGACGACGCTCGTCTCACCCTCGTCGCCTCCTTCATCCTCTCGGCCTTCCCTCGCCGATCCCTCGATAACTCTCGGTACTCTCGTGCTCGTCCTCGTCGACAGCGG